TGAATAGCCTAAGATGACATCGGTACAGGTTGAAAAAAATCTGATTTTATTTTTCTCCAGCGGATTTTGTGAATGACAATACTTTGGTAGAATCCGCCATTTTGTTTTTGTTCATCATGAAATTTTCAAATATTTCACTGTATACTATAGCCCTTCAGCTATGAAACAACGCCAAGAAATTCGAATTCGGTTGAGAAATGATGAAACCACGAGGAAAATGAAAACTTCCGGTTTTTTTGTGACCACCCCATACACTTATTTTTCACATGATTGCGTGGTCATCACGACTAGATTTTTATAAGAAAAAATATTGCTAGTAGTGGAAAAAATATGATAAAGAATATTATCACCACGAAACGTTATCAAACATATCATGGTGTATGAATAACTATTACCTATCTATATGTCTTCATTTAAATATAAAAAATAACAATATTGAATCTGTTTAAACTATTGACGAAAAAATCAATGAGTTAATGTCATGTTCGGTATATAAGAGGTAGAAGTGGTAACTGTATATTATATAAATCTGTCTGTATGTGTATAATTATTATATAGTGTGTATATATCATCAACCCGTATTAACTATAGAAATAAACCCGTATATTGAAGTTGAAATACTGTTTTATGAGGTAGATCTGTTAAATATATCTGGTTTCTGTATTATTGACTAGTATAGCATTCTCTTATAATATCGTTTTTTGGTTCATTGCATGAATATGATGACTGATGGCGATTAGATTCTAGACATTACTAAAATAATATACAATGAAACAAAATATGGAATATCGCTCAACATTAGATGCTGAGCGACCAAACTATCTTCATAAACCAAAATCTTATTCGTATTTGAGCTGGAGGTCTAATAGTGCACAAAAATAACTCAATAGATAAATATTCAAAAAAAGTCTCTTATTGAGCAAATAAATTGTACACTATAGTCAGAATAAAAAATGAAACAATAGAAATGGGCACTAATTCATTCTGGAAAATCACCAATGAAAACAACAAAATCTCATCTCCATGATATTCAATGAATCTGTAAAGTTGACGAAATATTCTCAAAATTATTGAAAAATTATCGATGAAAGAAGCATTAAAAAACTTGGAATTTCCAGGAGCTTTTTATTTGAAATTATCAAAGAAAAAGAATTTGAAAGAACTTAAAGGTTCATACTGTCTGTAGGTTAATTGAGGAGGTAATAAATTCATTATTCCAAATTTTTTTGGAATTATCTCCCCGCGTTTCTATAAAATAAAAATATGAATATTATTTCAATATACGTGTAGTAAGGACAAATCAGATAATTTTCCCCAAAATGTCACTGCCTTTGGAGAATTTTCCTATCAGAGAGCCTAAAAGATAAGATTACTAGCTTGTCAGTAACAATTAGTGTTGAAAAAAGTTTGGAGAAGAGAAATAAAGGTATATAGAAAAAATATCAAATTTGCACTCATCTTTGGACGTTTCGGGACCGATTCTGCTCCCGTTTTCAACATAAAAGATTATTTTAATAGTAAAGTCGTATCTGTCTTGAAGCTTTTCAGTTTTCATTGACAGTCTTGATTTGTCCTACACGTATATTGAAATAATATTCATATTTTAATTTTATAGAAACGAGGAGAGCAAATCCCAAAAAAATTTGGAATAATTAAAGGTTCATATTTAAACTACTGTTCTGACGAATTAAATCTGTCGGTAGCATATCCTGATGTTCATTGTCATAATTTGTAAGGTTCTTATGAAACCAATAATAGTACATTGTTTCATAAGGATCAAATGTGACACTTTGTTTGACACGCAATATTTGCAAGGCGGAGCGACCGCGAAGCCGAGCATGCAAATTTTGCGAGTCAAACAGAGTCACTTTTGATCCGAATGAAACATGCTATTTTTTCTGCAATCGAAATAATTGATATCTAATTGATGAATTATGAGCGAAGTTACCACTATTTTGACTTACTTGATCATGTCAGTGTCAAAGCAGCTATCATATTCAGCTGTCACCCGACACGTTTTTAGTTCCTAAGATCTAAAATTCAACTTTAGCTCCTAGACACTAACATTGTTGCCTAGCAACGTACATACTAATCATTTTATTGTGTCAGTAAGAGAAATAAACTTCAACTTCGAGAGCTAATATTGGAACAAAAATACAGTGTGCATTAAAAATAATGTTATTCCGCATAATGAAATCCCAGATAATTGTAGAGTATTTCGAATTTATCTTGAAATGCAAAACGTAAGATTGTTGAAAGAATAGTTCAAGTACTTACCTTCACCTAGTATTTGAGAGTATTCATATTTTCCTTTCATAAATTTGGCGATGTTCCAGAAAGTCAATGTTTAAAGAGAATATTTCAATGATAAAAATTAATAGTGCCCACCTCTAAAAAATATACCTGTGGTGGATTAGATCCACAACTGAGCTATTTGCCGTTACAGCTTCACTCGAAACGAATAACGTCAACGAAATGGAGATAAACGAGGTAAATACGGTGTGTTTCATTTAACCTGAGTTTGTTACGAGAACGGAAAACTCAATCCTATATTTATTGTTTTGCACTAATGACTAGTGGATACTAAAAAAATCTGAGGCAGAGTAGTTACAAATGAGGTAGTTTTTAGCCACGCGGGGCAGGCGATTCTGCAGTTGCTGCAGAATCACGTGATACTTATTACTAATACGAAAACCAGATCGCGGGATGGACGAAAAAAAAAATCCTCCCGATGTCCATTACCGACGATCCGGATAAAAGAAGAATAATCAACTTTTAAAAACTATATAAGTACAACAAAAAATATCTCCTATAATGAAAATAACAAAATAAAAAAATATTCTCGAAACGGCAACAGATATTCCATTCAAAAAAAAAACTTATTATAACAAACTGAACACAACGAGAAATACAAGGGTTGCATGTATTCTCTTCAAGAATGAAGCTGACCACGTCTACCTAATTTTTTAAATTCAGGTACGTCAATGGTCAATTATTATTTTCGAATTTGTGTTGAGGTGGTACCATTCAGGTCTATTTGGCCCCAGGAACTAATGGAGATAATCAATGTGATTACTTGAACTTATCCTTGATTGTTCTGTATTTTTGAAAATAATCTTGCTTTATTGTGAAGCTATTCAATAAATTGTGTAAAATATTAGTAACTATTAGATTTTCCTCAGATACAAGCATCAATGTGTTCATTGGATAGGGAATGCGGGAAAATGAAGTTTCTATGTCATCAAAGTTTTCCACATTCTTCAATGTTCAAAAATGAATTGAATTTAGTCAATTTTTAATACATTTTAAATTATGATTTATCTTCAAATAATCTGACCAGATACGAATCAAAGACAACTTGTATTCTCGAGAAGAAACTTGCTGTGCTTTAATTCTGATTGGTCCATCAGATATGGAGTTTCTATAGATGTTCTCATGGATGTTAAATCAAATTTTGACAGTTTGACCGGAATAATTAATTGCAGCTGTAGACGTCAGAATGAGTCGCTTTGTTCATGTTTATAATGAATAATGCTTCTTATGATTCATGAAATAGTCCAGCAGAATGCCACTGTGTTATCAATATACAGTATGATGCGTATGGAATAAATTCATTTCGAAACAAGACGACTCCCGAAAAAAATCCAAAAACTAGAGTGCAGAACTTTTTTTATTGTGTATTTTTTCAATTAGACGACCCTTCGATGTTCAATTCTCAGTAGCAGACCTCTGCAAGATTCAGTTAACCGAATGATAAACCATTTTAATTTCAATCTCATTATGCAAAATTTTTACTGTTGGATAGACGATCGGTAGACCTTTCAAACGAGGTGTCACGTGACCCCTGTTTGTATTTGAAAAAATCGTCCATTACGTCATTACTTTAACACCAGTGACGTAACATCTCTCATATGAATGTCATGAGATGAGGCTTCAAAAATTAAAACTCACGTTTTTTTGGAATTTCTCCAAATGTCACCCATTTCTGAAATAATGAATTTATTCCATACATTTGCATCATACTGTATATTATCTCCAATATATAAAAATCTGATTACTTGTTAGGAAATTTAGCATATTTGAAGGTGATTTTATGATGACTTTTAGCATTCCAGATTTGAATTTCAACACATACAACTAAGCGTCTTGAGCCATAAGTGGATTCGGTTATCAAATAAAATTGAGATTCTAGTCGGATAAATATCTCGTGTCATTAATGACATGTGATTTTCAATACAGAACCAAGTTTCAGAAGTTTTTAGTCAGAAACTGTGGTTACAAATCAAAAATGCATGTTTTAATATTATTATATCAATGGTTGCTTGCAAACATGTGCAATCCCTATTCAATTAGTTGTGATCATTTATCAAACAATTTTCGAGTTGGAAGTTGGCCATCTTCTTCAATCTGTCATGAGAATTATAAGTAATTGTTTCCTAACAAAACCGCGTTCCATCTGTCATAAGTGTTTAGGCGATCCAACTCAGGTTGGAACCCCATTTGTAGTTTTTATGATAATTATAAGTGAATTCCTGATACTTACACAAATTTTCATATAAAAAGAACTATTCGACACTAATAAACAACTAATTAATTTCATTGTGTGCCAACCAATGCATAGTTTGACAGGTCGATCGCTGGATTGCCTGATACTTTTACGTTTTGAATGTTAGGTGATAAATCATGAAGTTTTTTATAACGTGAACCTGACCTTCTTCAGCTGACTCATAATAATTATTATGCATCCTTAACACTTGTACCTATCACCTTGGAAAACTCACCAACACTTCAGTGAAATGAATTCAATTGACTTTCCACAATTAAGCAAGAATTACTTTCGCAGTTACTTTCGAATCATCATCTAGCCTAGCCCCCGGAAACCAAACGACCTCGAACCAACCACCCCACCCAAAAAAAACACCCCCGCCGCCCACCGGAGCCGATACTCGCCCGCCACGCATTATTTACATCAGATCTCGGGCGGTCTCCCACCCGGTCGCTCAGGGATGCACCTGTTGCTGTTGGTGCTGCTGCTGGTGCTGCTGCTGCGTCTGCTGGTACGCCTTCAGGCTGAGCTCGGTCTTGTGCTCGCGTGCAATATGTCTGCGCACGGTGTTGTTGCGCGTGAAGGTTCTCGAGCAGAAAGGGCAGGGCACTCGGATGCCCTGATGGCGCTGGCGGATGTGCGCGCGCAGGTTGGTCTCGTAGCCGTAGAGGCGTTCGCAGAAAGGACACTTTAGTTTTTTACCTGGAAAAAAGAACAGCGTCATTAGAACTACACCTTTTCAACTTCAATTTCGGAATTGGTAAGTTATATTTCGGAAAAGTAATCTCGATTTCAGAATTGGTTAGTTCGATTTCAGAAATGGAAAACTCAATTTTAGAATTGGTGAGATGAATTTCAGAAAAAAGTCCATTCAATTTCAGAAATGGTAAGTTGTTTTTCAGAATTGGTAGGTTCAATTTCAGAAAACTAATCCTTATATTTGTTTGAAATGTTTAGAATGGCATGTGAAATCAACAAACTATAATTACAATATTTAACTTTCGAAAACATAATTATAATCTCAACTTAATCCACAGACATGTCTTCCATCGGAATCACAGAAGGCTTTGCACATGATTATAAGAATGCCAACACATTTGAGGTGTTATCATTCGCATTGAATGTTCTGCACATTCTTCAAGACATCGCAGTCTGGATTCTATCTGGTTGAGCAATCTGATGTTCGGATCCCCAGCTATGACCCTTTGGCGATGCTCTTGCAAAAAGCTCTTCACTTCTGACTTGAAGACATCTTCAATCGGGTTCAACATAGGACTGTAAGGTGCCAATCTGCAAAATATAACATCTTGAAATTCTTCCTCCATGCATATCTCTTCTATTCTTGAATGTGCAGGTGCATTATCCAGAACTACCACTATGGTATCTGCAGGATGCCCATTTCGAACGTACGCTCTCAAACACCGTTTCATCCACTGTAAACAATCTTCTCTTTTGCAATTAAAAACATTTCAAACAGATATGAGGATATATGGCCAGGTAGCCGTGCGGACAGAGTGTCTATATTCTAATTCGCATTCGCTTGCCGGTCGTGGGTTCGATCCCCGTCGACTGCAGGAATTTTTCTGATGGCCCAAGAAAGTGTTTGGGATCACACGTTAAAAGGTAAGGCCCCCGTCATTCCTTGCTCGCACAAGACTTTCGAAGACTTTTGAGGGTTGCTCGTAAGGGGGCAACCGAATGACGGATAGAACAAATTTTAGAACAAATTATCTGAAATTGAACCTACCAATTCTGAAATACAACTTACCATTTCTGAAATACAACATACCATTTCTGAAATTGAATGGACATTTTCTGAAATTCATCTCACCGATTCTGAAATTGAGTTTACCATTTCTGAAAACGAACTAGCCAATTCTGAAATCGAGATTACTTTTTCCGAAATATAACTTACCGATTCCGAAATTGAAGTTGAAAAGGTATAGAGAGTTGAAGCACAGTAGTTGAAAGAAGTTCAAAACATCATTCCTCCTGCCCTGTCTGCCCGGACAGACTGCTAGCAGTATGCCGACCGCTGTCCGTACACGGGATCTCGGGATGTGATAGCTCCCATGACTGCCCGGAGGGGCCCCAGGCAACCAGATGACGAATGATCACGTCACTGTGACGTCCCTATTTGTTGATTTTTCGTCAGGGACGTCACACACCAATTCATGACATCACTATGACGTACTTTCTATGACGTGATAATCACGTCATCATCTCGACGTCAAGTGAACGTTACTTAGAAGGGTAAAATAAGACGTCAGTTTCATGACGTTGCAGGGACGTCCTGTCGACGACCATGTTCCCCAGACCATATCTAAACCATGTATACTTAGATTATCAAGTGAAACCGTTAGGTTTGTGACGTACCTATATACAGGGTAACTCACGGTCCATGGTCAGACTTTTACGGAGAACGGGACATAGGATCATTCTGAAATTTTGGTTACTCACGTAGTTGCTCTTGGTCTATCGATCTAAAATATTTTCAGCTCTGCGGCGTTGCCGCTTCTATCGAAAAGTAGCAACAACTTCGTTATTTTGAATGGAACACCCTGTATTTTATTGCATTTTCAGATTCTCTCTGAAGAGCTAATTTTAACGATGTATCCCACTTGGGGTCTAGCGGAAATGATTACAGGTATAGGGTAGGGTAGGGTGTGAAAAATCGAAATTTTTCAACTTTAGGAATTTTTTTTGTCGAAACTATTCATTATTGGTCAAAACGGCTCACATGTCCCTATCTCAACTTTTGATCAACTATCTACTGACATTTAATTGAAACAAATACAGGATGGTGCAGAATTCAGAATCTTGATCACCCGGTATATGTCCCAATTGAATATCAGTAGATAGTTAATCAAAAGTTGAGATAGGGACATGTAAGCCGTTTTGACCAATAATGAATAGTTTCGACAAAAAAATTTCCTAAAGTTGAAAAATGTCGATTTTTCACACCCTATATCTCTGTAATCATTCCCGCTAGACCCCAAGTGTGATACATCGATGAAATCAGCTCTTGAGTGAGAATCTGAAAATGCAATTAAATACAGGGTGTTCCATTTAAAATAACAAAGTTGTTGCTACTTTTCGATAGAAGCGTCAACGCCGCAGAGCTGAAAATATTTCAGATCGATAGACCAAGAGCAACTACGTGAGTAACCAAAATTTCAGAATGATCCTATGTCCCGTTCTCCATAAACGTCTAACGTACCATCGACCGTGTGTTACCCAGTATACAGGATGGGCATTTTCAGTGTCGAAAAGTTTTCAGAAAAAAATCGTTTTTTCATCAATTCCACACACATACAGAAAAGTGCACAAAAAACGGCCAGGATTGTAACTTGTGAATTATTTTAGATAGGGTTTTGAAAATTGTTGTGTAGCAAGTATAACAAATTACTCATTAATAGATGAAACAATATTTCTTCTATCTATCTGAAATAAGTTTGAAATATTACGTTATAATATGTGTGATATAATACTATTGTATCTACCGTTCATTTATTTAGTGACTAATCCAAATCATGTGAACAATGCTGAAACATTTGAATTAATATTTTGATTGATCGATGGTTCTGGACGATTTCTAATTATGAATTTTCATTGTTGCAGATAATGGACCATTACCGTCCACTGCCTCTCACCGTCAGGCGTATTGACGGTGCCCGTCTTGTGAAACAGCTTCCCCGCCACCGTGCTTCACAGGCTGGCAGGTATGAGGTCCTGTTATCTATACTTCGTCTAGGGCCCGATGAAGCCGTTCGGTCCTACGCACGTGGAGCATTTCGCCCCTTTTTGTATTCATGAGAATTTTGCACAACATCTAATAGTTTGTGAAGTATTTTACATGTGTCATTGAAGTTGGCACAGTCGGTAGGATTCGTTTAAGCAGCGAGTTCAAAAGTTGTATAGTATCAAATAATATGTTATAGTATTCATACATTTTTGAAAAATTGAAACTTCTGGAGATGGAGACGACTTTCATTCTTAACTATATCAACTGATTTAGAGACATGGCATAAAACAGTATCTATAATCGTATCGTTCTGACAAAAGCAGATTTTCTGTTGATATTCTGAAAGAAATTGATGTTTTACACGGCGCTAATGCAACCACTTGTGTAGCTTTTTCCACTTCATATGCAGAATAGGTTTTACAAATCTTGTTATGTGATATAATACGATGTATTTACCGTTCATTTAATGATTGGCAATTCCAAATCATGGAATTCGCCAATAAAAAGCGATGGATCTGGACGATATCTAATTATGAATTTTCATTGTTTCAGATAAGGGAACCATCTCCGTCTACTGCTGTTGCTGCATATTTCCATGAAAAACACATTGTGAATAAATTTCATCGTGATGTTTGTTGTCATGTCATCGTGTAGTTTTTATTTCAATCCCATTGCCATGGTGGGGAAATAATAGAGCAGATAATAAATAGAGAAAGGATAATTTTTCGTCCATAGTTATTTCCATTTCCAAGTTAACCCTCAACTTTGTGATCCTTCGAGCCGGATCAATAGTTATTCACCCAGAGGTAACCCTCAACATTGTGGTCCTTCGAGCCGGATCAATAGTTATTCCCCCAGAGGTAATCCTCAACATTGTGGTCCTTCGAGCCGGATTAATAGTCATCCCCCCCGAAGGAAATCCTGAACAACTGACACTCACCGTCGGGCGTATTGACGGTGCCCGTCTTGTGGCTCAGCTTCCCCGCCACCGTGCTCCACAGGCTGGCCGGTATCAGGTCCTTGTCCCTGTCGTGGTTGTATTTCGTCTGGGGGCCGATGAAGCCGTTTGGCCCCCCGCCCGTCGAGCTGTTCGGACCACCTCCACTTCCGTTGCCACCTCCTGCCGTGCTGCTGGGCGACTCGTCCTGCTGAGAGGCCGCTGGGTCCATCTTCATCCGCAGATCTAAAATAGAATAGAATAGCGTTATTCACCTACCTACAGTGTGACCCACTTCTAATGGAAACACCTCTGTATCTTACGTAATCGTTGGATAAGGATCCTGGAATTTGCTGGAGCGGGAGATATACCAAAAATGCACTCCATGACAAAGTGGGGTCATCTTCAGAGATATACATTGCTCGCCTACAGCAATGGAACCACCCCAATTTCCGAAAAATGATATTAGGAGTCAAAATAGGTTGAAAATCATTTCAGATTCTGAATCAGGACGCCTAATTCACTAACTAATATAATGCCAACTTGATTTTTGTTTGGCTAGGCTTCGCTGAGTCGGCGGTCTTAGGACTGCTGGCTGGAGACTACACTGCACTGATGAGAGTCAAAGAGCTCGAAACCGGTCTATGGTTGTCTAGCGTGGCCTGGCTAAATCGAAATCAATGGGCATTCAGGAAAGAATCACTTGTATCAGTATTCGTTGATACGGGTCGATGCATAGATTTCGGGAGGATGTATTTCAATGTTCTGCGTAGTATTAGCCAGGAAGGTAGTTATTTTTCTTCCGAAATCTACCATTGTTGTTCATTTTATGAACTTTGTGTGGAAATGACTTTGAGCTTTTCGTATTTATTTACTCATTTATATTGATTATAATTATTATTGTTACTACTGAAAAGAAAGATCCAAAATACTCACCCTCAGGACAGCCCGGATCCCTCGCCGCCACCTCGGTCCCCATCCCCTCCACGCACGTCTGCCCGCCACCCTCACCTGCCCCTTCCTGCGCCCCCTCCTGCCCGGGCAGACTCGACGAGCTGCTCGATGGGCGGTACCCGAGCGAGAGCGGTCCGGGCGAGCCCGGCCTGCCCGCCGCCCGACTGCCGTCCCGCAACACAGACGCGCGCACCGACTCCTGCATGACGGTGTTGGGACTGCGCCTGCGCGCCGACTCGTTAGGGCTGCATAGGGATGCTCGCGCCGAATCGGTGGGGCTGCGCTGCGGTCGCCTGTCGTACGGATGGGCGGTGCCGGAGGTGGGGCAGCGCTGCTGCTGCTGTTGGTCGGGGTACTGGTGGCGGTAGAGGTGCTGCTGGTGCATGTAGGGGGACATGGAGGGGGAGTAGCTGGGGGACGGGCTGGATTGGTGGTGGGTGCTGTTGGGGAGCGGGGTGCTGTCCATTTCTTCTTTCAATACCTGGAATACATGGGCGATTAGGTGGTGCAGTTGTTTGAGAATATCGCTGACACAGCAACAGACCAAGTGATGTTTTTTTATGTCTTGAATCGCACGAAAGCAAACGTATTGCTAGTGATAAAATTATAGCAGAGGTTTTTGAGGAACATTTCTCGTGGAAGTATCTATAGAGAAGTGCAAGGTCGCAAGATTTCCTATGGTGTTCTAACGAAGTCAAAGTATTAGTGATTGTATTGTGGCATCACCCACCAGGCGGATGGCTCTTCTCTGGATGGAATCTGTGGATGCTAAAACCCCATACGTGAGAACAGTAATCTGAAACTGGCCATATCTGTGATTTGTGGATCATGAGAAGCTGTTGAGGTGTTAAGTAGCTTTTCGCACGGAATAAAAATAAGAGTTTTTGTGAAGCAGCTTTCGAGATAGATCGAACATGATTTTCCCATTAAAGATTTTTGCTGATGGAAATACCGAGCATCCAAATAGTGGTCTTGGAGGGAATGGTGGTACCAGACATTGTTATACCAGGCGTACTTAGTTCCGTTTCTCTGGAGAAATTACAGGTGAGTTTTGGTAGAGTTGAATTCAACTAGGTTGTTGGTTCTTCAGGCTGTAATTTCAGCAATATAGTCATTGAGGGCATTGACCTGTCTTCGTCGTTAGTTTTCAGTTTCCTGGAAAGGAATGGGAATTCTAGAAGAGAACGCAGTATGGAGAGTGCTATCGTCTACAGAGCTGTGCATAGGGCAGTTAGTTGCTGCCAACAGATCATTGATATGAAGTAGGAACAATGTTGATCCTTGTGGAACGCCGGAATTGATGGATTTACCTGAAAGAAAACTTGATAAGAGCTGGCATAACTGGGTAAGCCGTATTGTGGAGAAGTCTTTGATGCCAAACACGGTCGAATGCCTTATTCGATATACCCAACGCCACAGATAGAGATTCCTCATATTATTCTAATGAAGCTTGCTTTATATGGGCGACGTAGGCGAGGAAATCTCCAGTTGATCTTCGTTGGCGAAAGCCATATTGTCTATCATCAATGATTCCTGAGCTTTCAAGATATTCGATGAGATCAATGTTGTTGGCTTTCTCCATCACTTTGGAGATGACTAATAACAGGACAATTGGCCTATAGTTGTTGGACAAGCTTTTGTTTGCTTCTTTGGGGATTGGTTGCTACTCTTAATAGGCAACTATTGAAATTCACGGAGAGACACAATCCTGTGTATATGTTTTTAGTTCATCTTGAATGGTATCAAGATTGAAACTAGGGCTCTCAGACCTTGCACTGGAAGCCATAAAATCTTCCTTAATCAGTCTAGTTCCACGAACAATGATCTCTCAAATGGGTGCCAGGAAATATAATGGAAGGGAATCAAAATACCAAGAACCTTGCCAAAGGAAGAGCAATGACTTGCGTGCCAAGAAGACACATTGCATGATGGCGATCTCCGACTCCAACAAAAAAGACAAAACAAAAATCTTAATTTTTTGAACCTAGCATTTTTGTATTTTCTGATGGCTCCACATTCTTCGAATTGTCTTTGACCACAAGTAGTCTGGTTCGAACAATGATACCATTAGTCAATCTTTGGCAAGGACGTCAATGCCCCAGTTTCATTTGTGTGACGAATGTCAGTTATTGCAGCTCTGCTTGCGTCAATATATTGCCATAATACCGTTACAAGATATGGAATGCAGTTATTCGTCAATATACTGCCCAACTTTCATGGGTCAGTATCACTCTAAAAATGTCAAAATCTTGAATCAGATCTTCTTATCTTTCGACTGGTGTCCTCCAGAAATTGTATCCCCAATTGACATACGGGGGGGGGGGGGGGTCGTCAATGGGAGTCTTTGGGAGTCACTGATAGTATTGAGTAGTTACTGGAAATCTTTAGTAGTCATTGGCACTCTCTGGAAGTCAGTAATGAAAGTCTCAAGAAGTTACTGATTGTCGTTGGTAGTCAATGTAAGTCTGGTAGTCAAAAGATTTGGTAGTCAGTGAAAGTCTTTGGTAGTTGATGGGAGTCTGGTAATTGATGAAAATATTGAGAGTGAATAGCCATTGGTCGTCAATGGAAGTATTTGTTAGTTTGGAAGTCTGATAGTCACTGAAAGTCTTTGGTAGTTAATGGGAGTCTGGTAGTCAAAGAAAGTCTTGAGTAGTTACTGATAGTAATTGGTCGTCAATGAAACTCTGTGGTAGTCAATGGGAGAGTTTGGAAGTCACTGATAGTGATGAGTGGTCACTGGAAATATTTAGTAGTAACTGGAACTTTCTGAAAGTCAGTCAAATCTCCAGGAAAAATGTGTACACCAGACTTCCAATGACCAAATACTTCCAAAGACTCCCAAAGACTTTCAAAGACTCCCAAAGACTTTCAAAGACTCCCAAAGACTCCCAAAGACTTCCAAAGACACCCAAAGACTTCCAAAGACATCCAAAGACTTCCAAAGACATCCAAAGAATCCCAAAGAATTCCAAAGACTCCCAAAGACTTCCAACGGAGTGTACACCAGACTTCCAAGGAGATTTACCCCTCGGTAGTAACTGATACCTAGTCGTTGGTAGTTGATGGAAGTCTGGTAATCAATAGAGGAGTCTTCGGTAGTCATTGAAAGTTTATGTTCATTGGGAGGCTGGTGTACAAAAAATGTTTTCTGGAGATCTGCCCTGTTCGAATGGAAACAAAACATGAAAAAAGAGCCGCAACTAAAAAAAAAACACCTACCTTGAGATGCTTCCTCGTCGGTGAATCCACAACGGCCTCAGCAGGCACAGTTTGCGCCACGGCCAACTTCTCGTGCTCGATGCTCAGCCCTTTGACCTGCAGGCATTCGGCCGCCTTGAGGAAGCTGGACAGCGAGTCCTGCGCCACGTGCACCTCCCCCCTGTACATGAACTCCAACAGGGCGGACATGTTGGCTGCCGAGGTGTTGTCGAGGATGACCAGCAACGTCTGATGGAGGGGGGCGGTGTCGAAGAGGTCGGCGAGGTGTTTGCTGCAGGCGGCCAGGATCAGTTTGTGCGCCTTGAACGTCACTCCTGCAACGGGAAATTACTGTACAGTGTGTCCAGTTTTCGATGCTTTTGCCTGATATCTCAGTTATCTTTGGAGATAGAACCTTGCGGTTTTCGCGATCCTGTGCTACTTTTTCGTGAAACTGAAGATGGCCTGATCAGATTTTGCAGGACTGTTTCCGTTTATGAGATACAGGGCGATTTTGAAAATTTATACTTTTTGGACCCACTCTATATCTATGAAGTTTATCAGCGAAAATATCAAATTAAAATCTTAACCCATAGAGAATTTTATGCAGAATCCAGTGGCGCACAACAGTTTTTTTTTGGGGTGTGGTTTTGAAGATACGACTCAAACATATGATTTTTTAAATTGAACACCCTGTACTGAATTCCTTATTTTTTTGATGAGTATAACATTTTCAAAAATGTTCAAAAATCACTAAAACATTGAATTTTAATAGTGGGCTATGGGTTTTTCTAGGGATTTTCATATAAAGAAATTTTCAATTGAAGGAATATTTCCTTTGATTGTTCCATGAAGGGGGAAATAACAATTTCAAAACTAATTAACTTGCAATACACAAAACTTAGATACCTGATATCCACAAATATATAGTTATAAAAAGTTTATAATGTAGAATAAGCACCTGATTGAATATTTACTAAAACAATTGAATTTCGAAATTATTCAGTGATTTATTCATTGAATTGTGCAAATTGGTGTCCATTTTCCATCACAAACTCTCTCAAAACATATTGATCATTGAGAGATGTCTTTGTAATTCCCGGAAAACTGCCTTTGTTGTTGCACAAAGCTCTTCAAGTATGTTGGGCCACTCACTGTATTAAAAGAAGTATTAAGAAAGTTTGTCAACTGTATGTTGGGGAAAATGGATATAAATTTGAACATGTCAATGAATAAGTTACTGAATAATTCCGGAATGCAATTGTTTCAGTTAATATTTAATCAGGTGCTTATTCTACATTATAAACTTTTTATTACTATTTATTTGTCGCTATCAGGTGTACCCAAGTTTTGTGTTTTGTTGATTAATAAGTGTTGATATTGGTTTTGACCTCTCCATGGAAAAATTTGAAGAAATATTTCTTCAATTGGAACGTTTTTTATAAGAAAAATCCATAACCAACTATCAAAATTCAATATATTAGTGATTTTGAGCAATTTTGAAAATTTTATATTTATTCGTTATATATCATTTTGAAGACAAAAAAATAAGGAATTTAGTGACCTTATGAAATCATGGGTGTTCCATTTAAAAAATAATAAGTTTGAGTCGTATTTTCAAAACCACACCCCGAAAAAAAAACTTAAGTGCGCCAATGGATTAAGCGTAAAATTCTTTAGCGATAAGATTTTGATTTGACATTTTTGTTGAGAAACTTCGTGGATATAGAGGAGGTCCAAAAAGTATAAATTTTCAAAATCGCCCTGTATCTCATAAACGAAAACAGTCCTGCAAAATCTGATCAGGCCATCTTCAGTTTCACGAAAAAGTAGCACAGGACCGCGAAAACCGCAAGGTTCTATCTCCAAAGATAACTGAGATATCATGCAAAAGCATCGAAAACTGGACACACTGTACAGCCAGTCAAAAATCTAGCCCTATTGGTCTGTCTGTAACTTCTCTAATTCTTGTTCGATTTTGGTGAAATTTTGACCAATTCGTGAATTCATCTATCGGGATGTTAGCCTGAATCTTAGATCCCGAGGAAAGCTGATGGCTTGATCGTTATATACGAGGAATAACAAAAGTTACACTTCAATCCTTAACTTCTTACGAATAACATTGAAATTAAATTGTATTGGTTGAAAAATATTGATACTACACTATTTCCAATTGTATTTCAGAAAGCATCAATTGTATTTCAGAATAATCAATTGAATTTCAGAAAGTGTCAATTGTATTTCGGAAATACAATTGATGCTTTCTGAAATTGAATTGATAATTCCCTGACGTCGACCGTGGTCGTACAGATCCCCGAATTGTGTTAGCCATTGTTGTTGAAATAGAGGATTCAGACTTTTATAAATTAGCAAACAAAAATGGCACCTTGAAGCAGCTTTTCACTCGTCATCAATTTACAATTTGCATAGGAAAGTTAATTTCTATGGATGAGATTTTAGCTCAAGAAATTTCGGTAAGAGAAGCAGTTTCTGCTAATTCAAAAAGGTTATACACACTGTAACTGCAAAAGAAGTGTTTCACGTCTGAATGTAGCTATAAAAACAAGAGCCTTTTGTGTAATTCAAAGTGTCATGGTGACAAAAAACCGTGAGCTAAAATCTAATATTTTTCCCGTGTATAATACACTTTTTTTTCTGTGACAGAAGAAAGGACGAATCAATATTGAGAAGATATTACATTATTTTGCTTTGCGTCTCGGTTAACTAACTAATCTCACGACAGGAATGAATCACTTCCCACCTCTGTGTGTAATATACTATTAAATACTGAACTACAAAAAAACTGGGAAAACGTATCCATTCAAATTAGGATTTAAAATGTTCAGGAAACCATCGTTATTAATGAATTAACATAATAAGTGGGTTGGAAAAAGGAAAGAAACATTAAAACCACATGAATGGTTCTGAAGAAACAAACTTTGAAATTGAGGGAATTTTCACTAGCGTCAATGTATCGATCCGTATATTCATCAAGAAATTTATGACACACTGGTATGCGGATGAGATGAATTCAAGAGTATTCACGTCTGATAGTACGATCACTCACTCCCGACGCACTATGCGTGTGGCACAGCTTCAGATTATTTTTATGATGCACTTGACCTACTGGCACACTTTTTCATTCTCATTATGCAGTTTGTTTATTTCGTCCGAAATAGATATTGAGGCGGCTTGTGCAACATTTATTATTTACTTTCGGTATTTGATGATTTATTACAAATTAAGGCTAGAAATCAATATACTGATGATATTAAGTGATTATAATCCTATACAGGGTCCTCCAGCCGACATTATATACGTGGACCATCACATCAGAACTTCAATTATTGCTTATTCATTGTTGGCTCAGTGATGACAGACGTATCTACTGAGTACATAGTACATAGGATACTCTTTATGAAAAATGAATTATGGCGGGTAAAGAGAATTATTTTAGAGGACATGATTGTTGGACACAAAGTATCCAATAATCAGTCATGAAACTCTATAAGTCGGTATATACCTTATACAGTATGATGCAAATGTATGGAATAAATTCATTTCAAAACAAGACGACTTTCGAAAAAAAAAAACAAAAACTAGAGTTTAGAACTTTTTTTTCGACGTATTTTTCGATGTTCAATTCTCAGTAGCAGACCTCTGCAAGATTCAATTAATCACATGATAATCCATTTTAATTTCAATCTTCTTATGCAACATTTTGACTGTTGAATAGACGATCGGTAGACCTTTCAATCAAGGTGTCACATGACCCCTACTTGTATTTGAAAAAATCGTCCATTACGTCTTTACTTCAACACCGGTGACGTAACATCTCTCATATGAATATCATGAGATGAGGCTTCAGAAATTAAAACTCATGTGTCTTTAGAATTTTTTCAAATGTCGCCCATTTCTGAAATAATGAATTTATTCCATACATTTGCATCATACTGTATATGAATTTGAATACGAATAGAACACTTTGCTAGTTTTGGCCAAACTCAGCAGAGCCATTTTTGTCGAAATATGCATTATAAATTCAATCAAAAAGCATATTTTATGACGATTTTATAAGGTGAAGTGTTGACTTTAAGCTCAAAAATACTACCCAATTTGGACTTTTTTGCTGCATATTTTTTACAAGAAACCTGTGGCTTTGCTAGGTTCGGCAAACTCAACAGAACCATTTTTGAAAAGGTTATATTTTTTTCAGATTCCATACATTGGGAATTCTAGGCTTATTTAAAAAAAAATTCTCTACGATTTTAGAAAAAGAAACGAATTTGTTTGTCGATATTCCCGATATTTACCAGCTATTACATGTTTCTATCAAAAGCAGATTTTTTGACGATTTTATGAGGCAAAGGAATAGTATTGATTATAGGCTCAAGTACTATCCCATTTTGGAAGTTTTTGCTGCATTTTTTTTTTAATTTCCAATTTTTTTGCTCCTCTCTGTCATAGAAAACTCTGTGGCTTTGCTAGTTTCGGCCGAACTCTGCAGGGCCATTTTTGAAAACATAGATTTTTTCATCGATTTCATGTATTGAGATTAAATGGCGGATTTTAGGTTAATTAATTACCATATTTTCGAATTTTTTGTTTCACGTTTTGAACAGAAAAAAACGAGACGATTTGTCGAAATACGCATTATTTACTATACATTTCAATCAAAAGCATACTTTATGACGATTTTATGATGAGGCAAAGCGTTAGCTTTGATTTTATTCTCAATAACTATCCCATTTTCGAATTTTTTGCGCCAATTTAAAAGAAACCTATGGCTTTCCTAGCTTCGGGAGAGAACTGGCTAATTTCACGATATTATTATAAATACAAGTATAATCAAGTGAGTCTATGTTTCTATCTCACTTAAGTTGTTTCATTCAATGACAACGCATCAAAAGTAGAGGCAATTCATGATGGACTGATGATGTTGGAATACGTCGAAATATGAATAGTAGGAAAAAAATTTTTGTTTTAATCATTTATTGGTTGTAGATAAAGTATAGTGTATGCAACGATCATGTGATGGCAATTAATATAGCTTTAATAGCTATATCATTAGATACTTTCGCCCTGCTCTCTGACTTTTTTCTGGTAGCGACCGTTGAGAGGAATATGACTTTCATTCACTTACCATCACAAAATAACGTGACGTCGGCCAAGCTCTCGGATTTGAAGAGGTTACTGCAAGAGGTTGTGAGGTTCGATCCAAAACTGTTCCACTTTAGACAGAACTGCTGTTGCTGGGGGTCCATCTCAACGCCAGAATGGAAAAAATTATGAGCTGGAACAAAAAAAACTAAAATTAGTATGTCTGCACGTATGGGAAATACCTATACATCTCCCAGTGACAGTACCTATACACAAAAAGAGGTACTGTTCCATATAACCTCATTTACGAGAATTGTAAATAGGGGAAATATACCATTCTTCTATATAAATCAGTTCAAAATCTCTTCCGCTTAAGGGTTGTTTTCAAGAGGTAGCTGCGGGTAGCTAGCACTATTTCATCAGTAGGTATTCTATCTTTTTTTTTTCAAATTTTTGAATCAATAACTTCTTTTCAAATGAATTGAACTTATATCCTATCCGAAATGCTGCGAAAAAACTGCTGAAACATGGTTCAACTTTTGTTGTATGGATTCAACCCGACTGACCCGACCCAATTTCAAATTTTGGTGGAGGTGCTGGGTGGAGGTTCCAGGCCACCAATTTCGACTGCTCTACTGTTCATCCACCAAAAATGAGAGAGACAAACTTCAAATGAAAAATAGTTTTTTCTGATTCTGAAGCAGTTCAAAATAAAATAATTGAATTTTGTACTCCAGTTGTAATGCAGAAATGAAAAATGTGGAGAAGATAAGTGACATTTGATATTTTTCTAAATATACCTTTGCTCTTCTTCAATAACTTTTCATATAAGGTGCCATTGATGAGGTCACTGACTATTTATCAATTGAACTCCTCTCTCAGGTTTTCAATAGCTTTTCAATGTAGTGACATTTTGGGGCAAATCATCTGATATATAGATGATATAAAAACGAGGAGAGTGTATCTCGGAAATCAAGAAAAAATAATATTTCACCTTCTTGATTAACCTAAAGACAGTATTTATGTTGCTTCCTCTGCATTCCTCCACAAATCTGGGTTTTGGTGCATTCGTATCAACCTAACAAACACCACCGGAAACAGCGATACCTAGATATACCATCCTATCTTGAGGTTAGGTTAGAGATTAGGATATTATGTTGCAATTTATTCGATAGGAAACATCATTTTCATCACAATATACTCGACAATCGACATTATAAGAATCTTTTCATGTAACGTCGTTCGTTCCTGCTTTTATGAAACATCTGGATTTTTCTTGGTAATCTTTGTCTATAAAGTTTGTTGAAGAAGCATGCTATGAGCACAGATATATGTATACTGTTACGGATTAAATCTCCTGAGAATATTCCAAATTCGTTCAAAGAAAAGTACAAATATTTCTTCTCTTCAAACATTTTTTCAAACAAACTGTCACTGACTAGGTATTGGATTTTTCTTTTGGGCTTCCCATTTTGGGGCAGATCATCTGATTTGTTCTACTACACATATATCGAAATACTCTCGGAAATACTACTCATATTTTTATTTTATAGAAAAGAGGAGAGAAAATCCCAAATATTCAAGAGAAATAAACAAAACAGACATTTTCATTCTCAATTTGAAAATTCTCATGAATATCACAAAATACAGTTACATAGGGACTTATGTAAGATTTGAGTAAGTACCTATATGAAAAACAGGAATGAATAGTAAAAATGAACAACAAAATACAAAACAAATGAAAAATTGAACGTAAGAAACAAACTGTTATAACAGAGGTAAATAATAAATTGAATTTGATCTGAATCAGATGAAGTATTGTTCATTTTTGGTTTATACATATTATCATAAGTACATATGTACATTTATTACTTATTTTGTGCAATTGATTCAAACAGAGCGTGGCCAAATATCATGCAATCTGAAAGTGTATGTGATTAACTGAAGATCAATAATAATATAAGTAATTATGATAATAAATAAGCGCTCAAATATTTTGCAGTAGGTTATGAAAAGTTTTTTTCTGTAGAACAATATGCAAATCAGGAGATCTACTGAAAATTCAGTGCAACTAGCAACCCTGCAGCGGACAAAAAGTGTTTGAGGACGAAAAGTACTTGCCCTCGGAAATAGTCGGTTATTCGTTCGGGAATTAAAACGTTAAATGTGATTTTTTGTAAAGGTGGACGAAAAATGAATTCATTCCATATGAGATATTTTTATTTCACACAGGTGTGATATGTGTTGCCTATGCATCAAACTACTGACGATGTTTTACTATACACATACTTCACGGACACTCTGAATAAACTTGCATAAAGTAATCAGAATATAGTGTGTCGTAAGATCATCGAACAACTTACATGATGCCTCTTCCTTCTCTCGCGTTATATTCGATTGGGCACCATGCAGAGCCTCGACAGGTCGATCCGCCCCTGCCAATAATTATTACTCCTAACCGGAGGTCCTAACTCCTCGAATGATACAGAATGTCCGATCCGAGTGCCGATCGGTCGTAAAACTAATCGTTTCGTAATATCAAACATCTGCAGCAGCGTGTTTTACTTAATTATTTACTGCACCTTTCTCCGAGCCAAAAACGTTCGCATGAAAAATTCAGTGGTTTCAAAACCATCGATACCGATAAATTTCGTTGGCGGTCGAATTTTCGTGTGGAAGTTTCACCTGGCGATAAATAATTTAATAGAAAATAAAAATAAATCGTAACGGTCACACGGTGGTCCCATATAGATTGACATCATTCGACATCAATACGATATTATGTCAACAATTAAGAATGATTTTTTTTCCCTGTTCCTCTCAAGGCCATTTGAGGCCCACTAAGCAAATCTGGAAGCTATGTTGATGCAATGTTGTAGCAATTACTGAATATTACGTTCCAGCAATGTAATAGTAACATGTTATATTGCTGCAAAGCTACATTATCAAACTTCACCTTTGCAATATTGCGTATCCGTAACGTCACTAATTGCTTCAACATTGCATGCATTAACCAGTCAAGTTTTTTTTGTAAAATGAATTAAGGTCATATTCATGCACAGTTTCGTATTTTGCAAAGGGTAGTTGCCAAACATTCTTGATTTTTTGTTATTATCTCCATCTTGAGTGATGAAAAAAAATATGTCATATCAAAGTGTTGTCAATGGTTTCAAGAAGAAATTCGAGAATACCACCAGTTTTCTGCCAACAGAGAATGGAAAAATCTTCTGCATCAGAAATCAGTGATGATGAATGAATGAGAATATCGCAAGTTCCCATGAAATGTTGAATTGAATACATTCCATTCAGAAATTCGATGAAAAAATGTGTTTTTTTCTGTGACGGAAGAAAAGTTTGGCATTTCATCCTGTTGGCAGGTTATAAAATGTCACTTTTCATAAATTACTTTTTTCCCGTGGGAAAATAGTGAGAACTTTTTTCCCGGATATATATCACATATATATACACTGTTGATGGCTTTTGTTGTGCTATAGTTCCGAGAAATGAGTCAATAATACCGTCTCCGAGAAAGAACTGCAAGTCCTTTCATCTTCCATTCGATTTCGCGGTTACGTATATTACTAAACAACCACTGAATTCGCAATTTTTTGGAATCGAATCATAGAATTAGACTGACAGAAGTGACATCAGATATTTGTTTACTTCAGATGAATGATAAAGATGCTCGTAAAGATGCCTACAACGCGGTGCTGTCCCTACTGTGAAAAACTTAAAATTTCACGTCGATAATTTTCATTTTTCAAAATAATAAGTATTGATTTTTCTCAAATATCCCGTTCATCTTTCTTCTGCACATCTTCACACTGCAAACCTACCAAGATCACCTGCAAATGAAAAAATATTCAGGACCCATCATTATGTGTATAATTCAACCTAAAAATCGTTTTTTTAATCCCCTCAACATATTGCTCTCTGTGGCTTGACTGATTTATGCATTGAGTCCCTCAATTATTCAGAAAACGTTCATCGACAATTACCCAACACTTCTCGAAAAATATATCGGATTTTTTGGCAAAATTACACAAAACACAAATAGGTATTGAAAGAAATTGATACAAATTAGTAAGACAGAAGGTATAAATCACTGGTTACTGATGTTTTAGTATTCTGCTTTTTGAATAGCCTTAGAATCAAGAGTAAATTACGTATCAAGTCCGGAAATAGCCATTTAAACACCAAGGTAGTAAAGAATATCATTAATACCCAAAGACCAATATTATAAGGTCTCGTGATTATAATATTCTTCCCTACCAAGGTGTATATTACATTTTTTCACACCTAGCAATCGATATATTTCAATCATTGACTATTGGTTCATAAAATGACGAAAACTAACTTGTTAAAAAACACTTCACGCCTTGAAAAGAAGTAAATAATGATATATCGTCTCTATCGAGGTCTCTATCTATATAGCTAGTGATGGAAAAATACCGTAGGTGAGTTCTCAAGAACATTTTTCTTCCATGCACTATATTTTTTGGCAACCATAATAAAGCAAGTTTATTTATACTTAATAGTTATTTGTAGAACGATATTGGGATAATATCGAGGATAATTTATATCAATATTTAGCTCAAAATTCGAACAAGTGATTAAAGGGATTCAATTTGTTTCAATTGCTTGCTTGGTTCATTTCTCGAAGATCCTCAGGCACGTATTTTTGTATTTTCATACTGGTCTATATACATCACTCTAGCACAAATGATTATTATTGATGTTCGATTACAGATGATCAAGAATTGCTTAAATATTTAAGAAATGATGATTCTTATATTACATAAATATATGATGGTCAGTCATATTAGTACTTATGTCTGTCACTGTCACTATTTCAATGTATTCATAAGCTGGCATATTAGCCCCAAGTTGACAACAGCTGGTACATCTCTGTAAATTATTCACTGTACTTTGAGGTCGGATATTTCGTTACTTAAATTTTAGTATAAGGAACCCCGATTTATTCATGAAAAAAACATGTGAAATGCGGGAAAAGGCAGGTGATAAATATCTTCTATGTCTCTGGTATTTCGTATTTTAACACGCATTTCATATATTATGTGTTTTAATGAGCATGTTTGAATGTGTAGACGGACGTATGGACATCTCAGTTCTTGTATAACCGAAGAAAATTAATCAGAAATAGCATTTTTCTGTTTCGAAGTGATATCATGACGTAAAGTAATACTGCACGGAAAAAAGGAATTGTTGAATCAAGCAAAATTTAAATGAATGAAGCAAATAAAAGTGTCATATATGCACGACAAAATATAATCTTGAAATGAGTATATCATTATCTTGTTTCAGAGCGAATTTGAAGTTTGGTTTAAGTAAATATTTCTTGCATGAACTCTGGATATTATTCAATCAAGCCCATCCATGAATTGTTCATGAAGATTTTGTCGAGGATTTTGTTTGATTCAAAATACCAAGATATTAATTCAACCAAATATTTAGTTGATTCCTCGGTTGATTCAATGAAATATTTGGTTGATTCAATGAATTATTTGGTTGATTCAATGGAATATTTAGTTAATTCAATGAAATATTTTTTTCTATTTGACAAATTGATTTGTTGAACCAAATTCAGTATTAATTCGGGAATTTTCTGAAATTTCACATCAATAGAATAAACTAAAGTAGGAAACTAGTCGACTTCTAGCATAGATCTCCAGTCTTTACTCCTCTTCAGCTGATGCAAAGCTATTTCGGATTGCTAATCATCCTGAGTTCGATTTATCTAGCTGATATTTCAAGCACGAAGAATCAGGCTTCGCGTATATAATGAATTCGAGGCAGACATAGATGAGGCGAAATGATTGTCATCTAGATGCAAAAATTTAACTTAATGTAGAATGAACAAAATATTCCATTGATATTACATATTTCGTTGCTCTTTTCAAAAGCAAATGATCCATTCGAAACGAGTTCATTGCTACATCGTAATAAGAAAATTCTTATGTTATTTCAAAGATATATTCCCATCAAAATGATCATTATTTCATCAAATCAACAAAATGTTTACAGTTGAATCAACATCGACATTATTTTGGATCGACATAATTTGTTTTTGAGAAAACCATATATTTTGTCTCGTATTTTGTTGATGGAATTGATATTATACTGTTGATTCAATTGGACTACATTCTTGATTTCAACAAGCTGCTTCCATGAAACAATCATGTATCTGGTTGATTCAACAAAGCATTGCTCAGTCCAACAAAAATAATGCATGCATAAATAATTTGTTGATGCAAACTCTTTTTTTCCGTGATGAGTGAATCGATGGAATAAAACTTGAGGAAGTCGCTGTATTGTATCCATTTCGAGTTTGTTCCAAAATACAATGGATGGGTATATATATATTACATTTTTCTTAGACCTGCTTCAATTCTAGCATAGCATCAGGTCATCGTACCCAAATATTATACATGTGGCAAAAACTCGTTCCTCTAACCATTCATTAAATATTCCATTACCTATGGCGATCTGACTAGTTTACTGAATGAATTCAGGCAATCAATGAGTAGTGCGAAATGGAAAGTTAGAAATATTTGGTAAGATTGCCTCCGTTGATATAGCGAAATACCAAGCGAATATTAATATTCAGAATATTGAATAATATGTATAACGTATGCGTACATGAAAAATGCCGGAACTAAATGGTTCTTTTTTTGTCTAGTATTTTGGGCCAGTACAGACCTGCTTTTCGTCGTGTTTTCTTGATCCTTTGTTTGCTTTACGCACTCGTGGTAGCCTTGCAGTAAGGTTATGATTTCATGTTATGCTATAATTATATGTACAAATTCAATGCCCACGATCTCACATGTGGTTGATTGAAAACAAAATTGAATGTAAGTATAGCAAAAAATGTACAAAGAAGAACGGCATGAATATAGCTCAGAATCGGGTGTCCCAACTCTATTTTTACACGCATTTTCTCGAAAATCGGTGACATTATCAACGTTCTGAAAAAACTGTTGTGTTCGTAAGCAAATATGCTACTCAAACATGCCATAATAATATTAGGGTGTAATATAAAAAAAAAGTTTGTGGTATGTGCTAAGAGGTGGTTTATGGAGGGGTAGTTTCAATGAAATATTTTCAATTGTGAAGTTTTTAAAATGTCAATTCACTCAGAATGAACCGAGGAATTTCAAGTAGTATCATTTTATTTATTATATTGAAATTTGGAATAAATGGAAGTGAAATAGTAGGTACCGAGGTAGGTACTAGGAAATGTATCCCAAAAATATTTCTTCGAAACAGCCCTATTGAATCGTCATGAAGATAAATCCCTACTTGCATGCCTATCCCATCTTTACTAATACAGGGTGTTCATTAATTGAGTACCGATTATACAAAGTGTGAATCCTTGGGTGATTTTTGAGAGAAAACTTTATATCAACATATATCCTAATCTCGATCCTAATCCTCTTGGTTTCTCAGCTACAAGTTAGTAAAAAAAGTGAGATTTCCTCGGAGATTTCAATCATAATTTTTAATCAATCTCAGATATTTTTATGAAATTTTATATACACCTTCTCATAATTGAGGAGCATTTTTTGACCACCACAAGTGACGTCCGTACAGAGTTTGAACTGAAAATTTTCTCAGTAACTTTTTTGTAAGTGAGTTTGCAAGGCTTTCACGCAAAAACTACTTTACTTATTATCAGGAAACTTCGAATACATATATCGAATAAATATTTTCTACAATGAATTATTTTGGTTGACATGATTGTTTTACACAGAATATCCAACAATCAGACATGAAACTCTATACGTCGGTACCTTAGATATTGATTATTATCAGGTGGCACTTCGAAGGCGCAAATTCATTACTGCATGGAAGATACCGTTCAGATTTTTTGCTATTCAGTGACTTGACCACGAATGACATTGACGTTTTAGTCTTCTGAGCAACCAAAATGCACGAATTCAATACTACCTGAATTGGTACATCTAGAGACAGGACGCAACCAATAATCCAGGCGGAAGCATGTTGTTGTAGTGAAATACATATTGAGTGATTGTTTTTAGTTTTTGAAACTTCATTGTTTGTAGTAATTTTTGAAAACGGAATCATATTGATTCAGTTCTATTGGGATGTGATGATCTTTGATATCTATTTAAGATGAAGGCGAAGCCTTGGGTAAAAGCTAGTAAGAAATGAAAAATTCTAGGTAAAACTGCATTTATCATGATATGGTTTTTTTTTCGAAAATTTTCTTGTTACTTACTACGTATTTTTGTCCGAAAAACCCGAGTTTGACAACGAAAATGTGAACAAACCATTATTTATTAAGATATTCCACTATAAAGTTACAAATTGCACCTTCTTTTTCGGCTGTCTTCTGGATCGGATATAGAACAATTTGCCTTTTTTTTTCATCATTGGACAATTAATATATATCACAATGTACGACACATTTTTCTCAATTATATGAGTGAACTAGAAACATGATTTTCTCGTGATTTATTCATATTTAATGGAAAGAAGGAAGAATATCATTTATAATAATGACGTGTGAAATGCCATTCAAAAGCAATCTGTTGACATTTGACATCTCATATTTGGACTGACTATCGAATAAATATCCGTCATCTGGTATGCTTGTTCACTAAAAAATATGAAAAACTCGCTATAAAAATCATATTTCCTGTTGAATTTTTTATATAAAAATGTGTCATTGAAGTTCATCATGAGTATATAAAGTGTCCAATGACAAAATAAGAAGAACAAGTAGCTGGAAATTCATCCAACACAAGGGGAGAAAGAAGGCGAAATATCGAACTTTTTCTTGAAATATCTCGATAAATAGTGGTTTGTTCACAACTTCATCATAAGAATCGTGTTTTTCAGACAAAAATACATAAGTACCAACAAAAATTTCGAATAAAAAAACATCGCCTGATAAATGCAGTTTTACCAAATTCTATATTGAATTTTACAGCCCACGAGCACCGGTGCAACAGAAATGCAATCGCCCTCAATTAAAGAGTACGGCCCTGACCGTCCTCTCGACTATTTACTAGGCGCACGGCGATGGAGAGCGGCCTTTCCTTTCAGCTTTTTCAGCAAGGCCGCATCATGCGCAACGATCGACCGCCTTAAAATTGTGCGTCAGCATCAACGAGGAGCCTTGAAACCACCGAAACCGCTCGAAAAAAATCAAAGCCAACCAGATGAACCATGAAACGCATAGAACAAACCTTGTGGCGCGGCACCGTTTCACGGCACCATGTCGACGCACACAGCGAATTTTCGTTCGAAAGCCGAATTTCGCGGCGCGGCACTCGCGACTGCTGCGAGGATATTCGGAGAAACAAGCGAAGGCCGAAATGCAATGCACGCGCGCACTCACGCACCGCACTCTAGACGCACAGCCCCGGCTGCGAGCTGAGAGTGGCGAGAGGGGCGGGGGGGTCGAGGGGGGATACGCACCGCGGCGTGTCGTGGTATCGGCGAAATTCGCGTTCGATTGTCCGATTGCGAGAACCCACAGCGGTAACCGGCGAACGCTGCTGCTGCTGCTGCTGCAACGCGGCGTTGCCAGATTCTGTCGGAACGCAGGCAAATCCTTGATTTCGGCCGATTTATTCGAAGATCCATGTTTTCACTTGAAAAATATCAATGTTGGAATAATATCGGTGGATCGATATTTTCTCCTTTGTATCGCAGTATTTTTTTTCAGTGTGAATGACATTTGTGTCAGAAGTTAGAATGTATGCTTCTCTTCTTATTGCGATAGAGAATGAGACATGAATGAGACGAGCTAACCCACAGAAAATATACAGGGTGTCCCGAAATTAGCCTGCCAAACTTCACCAGCAGATAGTACGACCAAAATTAGGAAGACGTGTTAAATTGTTATGACACTTCAGGTTTCACCAGATATGTCAGTCACTTCCTCATTTTTTTACTTATTCTACCCCACTTGTCACTTTTTGACATTTATCGTCCTGAGAACTGTTAATTTTTGATCAAGTTACTAGGGAAAACTAGAGTCCCTCCCTAGAGTCCCTGTATATACCTTAGACAAGAGTCCAGACACAAAACTGACAGCCCTTGGGGTTTTTAATATCTTGTTTCATTTGGTTTGCCCACCTGACAATGTGACGAAACACCATAGTCGTCCCGCCCGCTTTTTTCAATTATTTCGAATTTCCGTCACTGTCATTGAAATTTTATGACCGCCAAAATTTTGCATTTTGAATTATTTCAATGTCCTGCTGCGTACATTATTTCGATAATTCATTAGAAAAGGGATTCAAGTTATTCAATTTTCCGAATGATCCTTTAGAGATGATGTCAGGGAAGAATGCAATAAAACGTCCAGAATGGAAAATTAATTTCAAGAAATCCGAAATATGTGAGGTAAATATTCAAATTCACTTGTAAAAACAGTACAAAAAAGATTAATTTCAGGCCCATTTTGATAGAGATTCTTTCAAGCTGATGGATTTCAAATTGAAAGAGTCTGCTGTGCTGTCAATTTATAAAATAAAGACATTCAAAAAAAAAGTTCCATCGTCATCGTATTGGGAATTACTGAATGATACGATCGCAGAGAAAGAAAATGAGAATGAGATGATGCGGAAAGAAATTGAAAGTTTGAAATCAAAACTTGAAGATTTAGAGAAATTGCAATGTGCTATGTCATCAGTCCTCGGTGTGTTTAATTCAGATCGAATTCAAAATTTACAGGTGAATGTAGACTGCAGAAAGAGGTGGGAAACCAACACAATTAAAATTATATTGAAACAATTATATATCTTCTATTTTTTTATATCCCAACAGAAAACAACTAAATATATTTTCTTGACTATATGTGATACCACGTAGAACACTTAAATTATCTTTCTTATATCTAATGGTATCTCAGGAATAATTGATCATGAAAATTATCGATTCGAAATTTGAACACCCTGTTGTTCATTATTTGAAAATCTAATAATCATTCTAGCCAAAATAGCCCTATTTCTCACTTCTACCTACGGCTATGAACGGTTTGACAAATAATCTAACCCTCAAAATTTTTTCTGACAACCATAGGTCGCGTGCAAGAACTGTCAGATGACTGACCCTGGAGGCAAAACATATTTGTTTACAAGTGATCGAAATAGTTTTCCACAATTATTTTGGCATAAGAATCGTATTTTTCCGCTATTCATCAATTCGCTAATGCCATCACATTGTGCTGTTGTAAAATGCACAAAAACTGCAGCGGAAGATGAAGAAATCCGGATGGTACATTATGATTCAAAAGTAAGTACCTACTATAGTCACTCACATAGTTTTCATTTTTGAAATTTGGTTATTTCTCTGATTTCTCATCGGAATTCCTTCTGCAATAGGATCAGCTAATAGAAATATACCTGAAATTTCTAGAATAATGCAAGAAGATTGGATTCATGCAATCAATCGGTAGGACTGGTCTGACATGCTGACGATCGTGTGTGTTGTAGACATTTTCAATCTATTAGCAGCCTTAGCTTGTATTGCAAGTGGCAGAAGGCAGAAGGAATTTTAATAAGGAATGACAACATTTCATAATGCTAACTATGTGAGATTACTATTTACCTGAAAAATCATATTCCCTAGTCTCTTGCTGCATTTTTTGTGCATTGTACAACAGCACAATGCGAAGGCATGCTTGAATTAATGAATAACGCAAGAAACACGATTCGTATGCCAAAATATTGTGAAAAACTATTTCAACCTTTTGATTCCTCTGTAACCAAATAAAAAAGTGAGGTTGTGTTTCAATAATTCACAGAAGAATGAGGTTGTGTTTCAATATTTTGCCTCCAGGGTCGGTCTTCGTGCACGCGACCTATTGATCCTAGGGGAATTGAAAAGACAGAGCTCGATATATATGTCTTATTCCTTTATTCAATCATCAATGCAATTTTTGAAAACCGAAAAGGACAGAAGTATAGCTGTGTCCGGACTCTTGTTTAAGGTATATACAGGGACTCTAGGAAAAACTAGTTTCGATGAAGTTTTACTTTCCATTTGTGTCAAGCGCAAACCTAACTAAAATCTCAAAAAACAATTCGGAATTTGGGAAAGAAACACTTTCATTCGTTCATACCTACGAATCGTTGCATAGATTTTGGAAGGAAGTAATTCGATTTTCTGCGTGGCATTAGCCAGGAAAGTATAGTTGTTTCTCTCACGTTATCATTGAACATTTGGAATTGACTTTGGGCTTTTCGGACACCAAATGAATATTCCGGCGATATGGCAACGCCGCTAGCTCTCGATGCGGGAAGTCAAGAAGGCCAGCGAAGGAAGCAAAGTGCGTCGGTGACGCAACGTCGAAAATGGGTCATTTCTAAACGAAATGCAAACTCGACCCGAATACGCAACCCCGAAAAAATCGTGAATACGCAAATTCGCAATAGAAAGTGTGGAAACCATTCGACCGTTCAGCTGTTCTTCCTCCTCCGTCTTCTTCTTGCCTTTTTCGCGGACACGTTGTGATTGATAGATGCGTATTGCGTTTGTCATTCATATCGTTCATTGGCGTAACAAAATTAATCGCCAAAGGAACAGCTCATATTTAATTACTACAGTAGTAAGAAGGTAAGTGTACTCACAGTAATACGAAATGGGCATTTATGCACTAGCGGGCGGTAAAGTGCACTTTATCGCTCAAATTTGCGAGCGTAAAGTAGTACTTTACCGCCCGCGGACCCATTATCGCCCACGGGCCATAAAGTGCACTTTACCGCCCGCTGTTCTCAAGTCCCTTATATCCACACATCCATTTGTGGAATAACCATATTTGAACTCTCAGCAGATTCTATCGTTATGATTATGATACATGTTATATTGTTCATCTGATTCCATCTTCGCTATAACTTCCTTCTTTGAATAGTTGCTTTCTGGCTGACTGAAGTTTTCAGCGAAAAGATGACAATTTCAGCTTATTTTTTGGATGTATTGCTAGACAGCAACCATCAGATAGATTGACAACGTCAAATTTAGGTAGCTATATACTGGGTATACATATTGTTACATCTTAAGGAATGAATCTCTGTTAGTGAACGAAGAATTTTATTCCTACGATAATTGCGATATTCGTACGGTAATTTTAATATGTAGATTATACACATAAACATTGAGCTTCTCTTGAAAACTGAATTTATGAGTGACATATGAATTCTAGTTTGTTGAAATCTAGTTATTACTTGTGACTCGGGAAAAAAACTACTAGTGCATAAAATTTTGTATGTATCACGTGCGTAAAATGGGTTTATGGTCTTCAGCGTGTAATGGCCCTCGGCTAGCGCCATCGGGCCATTATTCACGCCACAGGCCATAAACGCCTACTTCACGCCCTTGATACATAAATAACTATTTTGTTAAGATTGAGGCTGTAAAATGCAAAAGGATGACGACTTTTTTGACGAAAACATACAAGGTATATATGCTTCAGAAAAAGCAGCGCCTTAGAAATAATGTGTTTTTAACAGTTAGAATTGGATGTAAATTTTAATACCTTTTCAAAAAATTTTACAAAACTGTATAAACGTTTGCTGAATATGGGTGAGTCGTTTGAAAAATGTGGAAAAACAACATTTTCGACGGCAGTATCAATGAATCTTTTGTATTTTCCGCTTCAATTTTCATTTCCATCAATGGTCGACATCTGTTTGTAGTAAATATGGCGCAAAATATACTTAAAACCAATTTTCTTTCTCTGATGCTCAATTAAAACCTTAAGGAAGTAATGATAAGGCATTTTATGAGACGATTTCCTCCTGTTGAAGTACTCATTGCATATTCAAATCCATTCTTATGACTATTTATTCCTGGGTATGTCATACAAAGCTTCCAGAATGATAAGATTGATATAAGAAGGATATAAGATTATGCCTGGCTAGTGCTCATTGGGCAGTGTGGCAAAATGTAGAAGAACGTCATCAACATGATCAACATAACCCTACTTTTGTTATTTACAGTGTTCAGTTTGTGAATTTTGTGATTGGTTTCAAGTAGAAAACCGAGTAGGAAACATAGACAAACTACATTCAGGAAAATACATATTATTTTCCATTACGTTCTGACTCGTTGATGGTACTTCATGAACATCAGGTCCTAATGAATTCTTGCTATTTGGACATTGAGATTGAGCGGTATATTGTCTTATAGTAGGATATGTGATAAGAGTTGCCGTCACCCGAACATCGTACTATAGTGATAATCACCATTCACCTTTGAATTTATATAATATGTATATGCAGTATATGAAAATATACATTTGGAAGTGCAAAAATATATTCGAGTTAATTTCAAAATTCCCACTGTCTGGATTTTGTTCGGATTTTTAATTATAGCCCTCTCCTGGTTTTCATATTTTAGAGATGAAAATCCTACCTTAGATCTTATTCGTC